AAAAGATAACATATTTACTCAAGAGTGAACATTTTATCTAAAATTTGTATGTCTAATGCAAAATATATGATGTTTATATTCAAAATGATCACCAAATTATAAGAATTCCAGCAATGTAAATTATATTCTGGCCGGGTAATTTGTATGAATTTTATGAGCTAAAACAGGCAGTCAGGCAGGGTGGCGGGTGGGGCAAATCTAAAAATAGCGTCTGGAGCCGGACACTCACCGCGCATATGTGGAAAAAATCCGTGTTAAGTGAAAGTTCAGCTCTGGCGAGGCACCGCGTATATGATAAAACGCGTTAAGTGAAACCGCGTTAGGCGGGGTAATACTGTAATCAACTGTTCACTCTATATGATGGAATAACAGATTAATAGAATAAATGTATACAGGAAAGCCTCTGATAATGACAGTTCTACCGATGAAGATTCATATTTAAAACCCTGGTTAATTAAAGACCCAATTCAATTTACAAAGTTATTTTATAAATATTTAAAACAAAAATAGAATTAAAAGTAAAATAAAATTACATTTTCATATAAATAATAACTAAATCCTGATATGTATTATAAAATAAATATATACGGTATATAAAAAACAAACACACGCCTTCGTACGAATGCTGCCGGGCAGTTGCAACTTGGTGGACATTTTTTATTTTTTTCATGTACAGTATAGTCTGCATTTAGGCGGTCAATTGAACCTGTGGAGGATCGCGTAAAACGAGAAACTCGTAAATGAAATAACAGAGCATATGGGATTAATTGAAATAGAGACTGGGCCGACCCCCAAACTCCACTTTTTCCGACACAATTACGTACGTTGTAGTAAAAATAGTATCTTAATTTTATGATGGTATGCACACACACATAATATAGAAGAGAAATATCAATAAGAGAATAATATACTGTACGTTAGTAGAGATGGGTCGGCTTACGAGGATGGAGGCTGGTTCTCAGCAGCGCAAAAGTTGCATATCAACTCCTGGTCCATGGGCTGGATTAACGACGAAGTGTTGGGAGGAAGGAAGACCACTTTTACACTGGGGTGACGATCACCAGTAGGGGCGAGTGTCCTGGTGCGTTGTCAAGCAGCAACAAAATGTTGAATGGCACATTATTTTGCGCGCAGAATTTCTTCACGTCGGGAACGAAACAGTCGTCAAACCAGGAGAGGGACAGACCAGTGAACATCCACGCCTTATGTGAGGTTAGCCAGTGGACATTTAGCATGGTCATGTCCATGTTCTTGAAGGCGTGCGGCTTGCGGGCTGTGTGGATCACCGACAACTTGAGCTTACAGGTATCAGAGGCATTGGTGGTAAACAGGACGGTGATGCGCTCCTTCTGCAATTTCCAGCCCCAACACTTGCTGGCAGACTTGACAACGAAGGTCTCGAAAGGTAATTTCTTCCAAATCAGCCCGGATTCATCCATGTTGAACACCTGGTCGTCAGTGTACTGTCCTTCCTCCAAAACTTCTCGTAAGAATGGAGGAAAATCCATGGCGGCAGCATGGCCAGCACTCACTCCTTCACCAACAATGTTAATGTTGGTAATCTTGTTCCTTTTCTTAAACCCTTGCAGCCACCCAGAGGAAGCAGTGAAGGGTTTGGGGTCTGCAATTCCCATCTTGCGCGCCACTGATGAGTACAGTTCACGAGCGTAGTTCTGCACTGCCCGCGTGTCGGCCGCCATGTTCCGTCTTGCCTGACGAATTAAGTAGCTCACCAGTAAGTTCTCAGTCTTGAGCAGCACCTTATTCTGACAAGACTTCCCCATTGAAGCACCTGCAGACTTTGTGATGCTCATGTGTTCTTTAATCTTGGCGGCATCCTTCTTGATCATCCGGATCGTAGATTCGTTCACGCCATGCTGGCGCGCCAAATCAACTTGTCTCGTTCCTTTCTCTAAATCTTGCACGATCTTGTACTTAACTTCATAACTTAGGGCACGTCATATCTTCTTGGGCTTGGGGCGGCTTGGTCCAGGTAAATCAAGGTTTTTCTGGGGTGGTGGGGGGTCCAGCGGATGCCATTGTCGAACAGATTAGCGGGCACAAGAGAGAACAGTATACGTGGTTACTGAGAACAATGAGACTGACGCGGCTGGGTCAGTAGCTTCCCTCCCGTGCCAGGCCATGTCATATAACATTAGACCAATCACAGCTAGCGACGGAGGGAGGTAAGGATAAGTGGCCCAATCACAGTACGATGCGTCATATGACGTCAGTGATAACGCAACAGCGACATACTGCACATCCATATCCGCGCCACTTCCCGCGTATGGTCGAGAATGGACCGCGTGAATAAAAAATGCCATGGCGAGTCTGGACCTCTGGCTGCTCTCCGCGTAAATGACCAAATTTACCGCGTAATTAAAGCATTTTCATTCTATAATAATAATAATAATTAACGTTTTATTGAAAGAGCTTGGCAGCCAGAAGGCTGAAAATATACAGTTACATATTTGGGGAATGGGTTTTGAATTACAAATAATATACAAGTAACATAAGTGACACAAATAAGACATATAATAACTAGATGGGGAAAAGCTCAAACTACAGTTCATTTCAACATAGTGACAGTGCAAGGAGTAGTGTTTACTGGGAGTGAATACACTGGTTTATTACAAGTTATTGATAATTTTTACAATGGTTGGGACTGGGCTGTTCTTATAGTGATCAGTTCGCACGTATGGGCTGGATGCGGTTGTGTGTCGAACAGCAATTCTCGGACTAGGGATCTCAGGTGGTAGTAGGAGCCGGTGTCGAGGATGGTGTAGAAGCTTCTACCAAATTTGCAGATGAGGTCGTGGTGATGGTCAGTGAGAGTCGAAAGGGTCAGTGTGTTGAGCTTCTTGATATGTGGAGTAGGAAGGGGAGAGAATAATCTTGCATGCCCTCTTTTGCACTTTTTCTAGGTGTTTGGTGGCATTTAGGGAGGAAGACCAGGTGGGGGAGGCATAGGTGAGCTTGGGAAGTATGAATGTTGTGTAAACACTGAGGAGCTCGGGTGCAGGAACTCCGAGGGACTTGAGTCGGCGGAGGATGTGGAGACGGAAACTGGAGGATTTGACAACTTCACTGACGTGTGGTTTCCAATTTAGTTTGTTGTCTATGGTGACGCCGAGGAGCTTCGTGGAATCTACAACCTGGAGTGTGTTCGGAGCTAGAGTAATGGAAGGAGGTGGGACAATGTCGGAGGAGAGGTTGATGTGCATAACCATAGTCTTGGTATGGTTGATGGTGACATGGTTGTTGGTGGCCCAGTTTTGGAGACTGTTCAATAAATCCTGAAGGGCGGTATAGTTGGGAGCAGAATTGTTGACGCTGATCCCAATGGTGGAGTCGTCGACATATTTCCAGCGAGCAGGGGTTTCTCTTAGGGCATCATTGATGAGCATAAGGAAGCAGAGTGGTCCCATCTTGGTGCCTTGGGGGACGCCACAGGTGAGTGACTGAAAGGTGGAGACAGCCCCTCGGAAGCATACAGCTTGGAGTCGGTCACTGAGAAAGTCTGTAAGCCATGGTATAAGACTTCTGGCAAGGCACCGCGTAAATGACCAAACGCGTAAACAAAAACCACGTAAATGCAGACTATACTGTATCTGAACAGGACAGGACCAGGAGAAAAACTTTCTCAAGTATCTTACAATATTTTTGTGCCCCTATTCAATATGACTAAGACAGCAAGTGATGGTTTAAAAGCTAAAAGAAAGTGTATAAGTTTAGCAGAGATATTAGATGTATGAAAATGATATGAAAAGGATGAGAGGTCTGTGGATATTTCGCACACTTTGGGGATGGCGGACTCAACAGTCAAAACTATCTGTAAAAATTAAGAAAAAATTTAAGAAAGTGCTCAGTTGATGAAGAGAATTTTCAGGAGTTATTAAACAGTGACAGAGAAGACCTGACTAATGAAGAACTGTTGCAACTTGAACAAGAGCACGACCGGAACACAAACACACCAATAGATTACCCCTACCTCACCTTCTCGCAAATTTACGACAACATTGGCTGTGTCCTTAAGTTTTCGACTTTACCACTATTGGTGAGCATGAACAGTAATAAGAATTGCTTTCATATTCCTATGTAGAGAAATAATGCTATGTTCTCATGTGTGTGTATGTACATATGATGGCCTGGTGCAATCCATCTCATGTTTTTTACTTTACCCTCAAAGGTTACTTCTACTGTACAATCAAAGACATAAGTCATGTCGCGGTTTTATCTGAAGATTAAATATAACCCGTGAAACATTATGAGAGGCCCCTACCACAAGGCAAAGTGCACCAAAAGTTAAGCATATGTTTTCACCAAATTTCATAACATGAATTTTGTCTTTTATTGTACATTAAATAACATTAATTAAAACATACATATTTTTTTCTCATTAATTTCACTACAGCAACAACCAGGGTCTTATTTTCTTCAGTCTCAGATGAAGTACTGTCATTATGGGAGTAAGCAATGACAACAATAATGGCGTCCCATCTCCTCTTGTGTGACCATATTATTATTCATTTATAAAAAAGATGCATTCATAAACATTATTTAAAGAATATAGTTTGCATTTTTCATTAATTGTATTGTTTTGGGGGAAAAGAGGGTAAAAAGCCAAACAGAAGTGATGAAAAGGTCACACTTGGGAACGCATCTCATTATTATTGCTTTATTTTAATGGTAATTAATGATTCATGATACGATGATTCACCTTACACTGCAATATTGGAGGAAACATTACCATCGTTATTCAGGGCTCCACTGTATACTGTACTGTACAGTATACTGCATGTTAAAAGTGAACTGATGTTTTAAGACATGTTGTAATATATCAAACCCTCATTAACACTTTTGAGATTTAACTCTCATTTTGTGATACATTACAGTACAATCTTGGAACTCGGCAATGGTTCAGTGCAAACGTACAGTAGCTACATGAGTACTGGCAAGGCAAATCTAGATCTAGGATGTGTAAAAGAAAAATTCAACAGTCAGAGGGGATGTTTGTCTTAATGTCTAATAATCGTTACACTCAAAGATTTTCATCATTTACCGAACTATTCCAATTATTTCTGATAAAATAAATACCAACACCACAAATAAGCTAAGTTTGAAGCTCTAGAAACTGACCTTTAGTACTGTCTTAAACCATGAAGCTGAACAGATACTTTTTAATCACAACATTTAATAAAAAATAAATAAATAAATAAATAAATAATCAAAAATATTCTTGTTAATCCATTTGACCTCAAAACATATACCATCTATAGTCATGTTTTACTACAACTGTGAATTTAAAAAGTATCCATATCTTGCATGATACCTGAAGTAATGCTATTACAAAGACATTTGGAAAATAGTAAATATGCCTAAATCTTTAAATATTACAAGATGTTCCTTTATACAAAATAAAAATGCCTATCAACTATCTGTAACTGCTTTTCACGGAGACATTTTAATGAGCAAAATTTATTGTACAGACCAGCATCCTAATTTACCTTGGGAAACAATAAACTCAACTAATGTTGAATGTAGTACATTGGTTAACACTTTATTCATCTGTATGAATAAGTGCAAGAGTACTAATGCTTATTCTGTATGTACTGTATACATTCCATGGGATGCTATGGGGCAGTTTAGTGCTATACAGTAGTTCCCCAAACAATTGTGATTATTCATATACCGATGATTTGAACCATCCCTGAGACATTATACTGAACCTTAATTTCAATCACACAAGAACTTCCACCCTTTGGCCTCATGAATTGTGGCCTGTGTCAAAAGTACAAGAATGGATACTATCAGTGAGTGTTTGCAGCACTTCCCTCCGGTCACATGGGCATTTTGCAATTATCACATGCAGTCAGTGTCTTCATATTTTTCAACAAAAGAAACTTGCATTCTTGTGTAAAATGTTACTTCAGTATCTCCTAGCTTGACTGCTTTTTATTAAGGTTTACAGTTTAAGTAAAGCTGTTTATAAAATCATTTTTGGGTGTTGTAACAAACACTTCTGAGCCAACTTTGATCCACCGTTAACCCGGTGTAGGACGGGTTTCTCTCAGCTGAATAAAATACCTAAGTGTGCCGCTGCATTACAAAGGGTTAATTGAGATTGGCCCGACCAAATCTATCTTGAACCCTTCATTGATGCGGTCTTCCCTGCTGTTAATAGTAGTAGTCCAGTAGAATGACAAAATGGACTGATCCAAGTTGTCAAGTAACCAGTTTGTTAAAGTGAAATATCAGCATCAGTTACCCATGTGAGAATAAGCTAGACCAAAAGTACTTTAACAATGGCAGGAATTTCTGGACATCCTCAAGAGAAAAAACTGTGACTAAGTTTCATGATTTTAAGATTATGGTTTCCCAAGGCTTTACGATACAAATATATTATTGCAAAAGGGGCATTTCTGTCAAATAAACCACTTGTTTTAGGTTTTCAGTACCATCTGTCTATTTTGAGAATGATAGTCAGTATATTAATGGCATTATCATTAACAATCAGTGGGTTAATTTTGGATCACGAGCATGATTTTGTAGCCTGTCTCCACCTCAGCTACAGTCAACTTTTTACTAGCTTTCAATTTATCCTCCTATCTGTTCCTCAGCCAATAAGATTTAACATTTATTTATTTAAATCATTCAAATTACACAGGTGTGATTGAAATGTGTATGTCTCCAGAACTGTTGGAAGGCTTCATGCCATTATCTCTGCCAGTTTCACCCTCAAAATGCACACCTGTGCACAGCATTTGTTAAATTCTAAAATAATACGGTAATTAAAAAAGGCAGCCTGATATAGTGGATGACACTATCCTCATGAATTGAATAAACAATAAGAAACTGGTCACTATCCAACAATCAATCCTGACTTTTTTTCATTTTTTAAAAGCACCAAAATACTAATATTAATCTTGCCCAAGGATATCAGCATAGTTACGACGGATAATCACAGGTACAGCAGATGTTGGCAAAACACTTTGCTCTGTTACAAGAGCTGTTACCAGACAGGCTGGAGTCACATCATAGACAAGGCTCACTACATTCAATTTCTGCATTTGTCGCCAATCAACAAGAAGACCACAGTAATCTCTTGATGGACAGAAGACTACACGATCTGCATCTCCTAGGGGTGGGGGATTAATATTAAAATGATGAATCATGTTAAAAAATTCACATTTGTGGCTTGCTAAGAAACACTTTGCAATCCTTAAGAGACACTATCCAGCCAACCTAGCAATACATACTCATTTGAAAAAGATTCAAAACTGGAGGTATGTGTTATGCCCACTTCAGGGCTAAGACTTCCAAAACTTTAATAAATTCAAAACCCATAACACTAATGACCCATCTAAAGTAACCCAAGTGATTGCAAACTCTAATCCTCTGACAACTCTCAGAGACAAGAAGTTACTTGGGGATGTGGGTTAGGTCTGGGTCTCATTTGTATTCTTAGTGAGCCACAAGAGACTTAAGCAAGCTCAATTCACTCTTTCTGCCTCATGGTCCAAGGAAGGAGAACATTGGTTGAAGGAAGCACAGCTATAAAAGTTTAACTTAAACTATATCAAAACACAATTCAGTTATTATGTACTAATAATTAGCTAAGCTTACTCTTACAATAATTCCTAAACAAAAGGAAGACCACCAACACATACTGTGATGGAATTACTTTCAATCATTTCCCCCCAAACCTGTACAGGCAGAAGACTTCTTTGACTACCATAACTTCTTACCTAATCCTGAGGCTCCAAATATTGATAAAAGCTAAACAAGAAGCATATCCTAACAGATCCATAAGCATCTACAACAGCATTTACCTCATTTCTTTGGAGTTTGTTTGTAAGACTACTTAAAATTATAATTTTATTATAAAAAATATCATTTAGAGTAAATGTAAAGTACTAAATAAGTATGACCTGTAATAAAAGGAATTGTCTAATTAGCCAGGAGTTCTCGGTAGGACAGACTGAAGGCTACGTAGCAGGGAGGTTAAGTTAGATTGGAAAAATCATGTATTTTGATATACAGTATGAGAGGAGCTAGGTTTACACGAGTATAGTCAGTGCCAGCCTGTGTCTGCTATCCTCACATTTCACAAGTACCAAGCTTATCTTACCTAAGTGCAGTACAGTATTACCAAAAATTTTAAAAAGTTACCCAACAATAATTTAGAAGAGGTGTGCGGGTTAAGGAGCAGAATTGCTGTATTTTATGGCATATATGATGCACTTTTATCTGAAAATGGCAAAAATAAAATAAGCCTGCATACGGTAATGTGTTGTCTAATGGTAGACCCTGCTGCCATATGGCATCACAAAAATTGTGACCAAGTCCCAGGTTGCTGATCTGACTTTCTGCCTCATTTACACACAATTGCAGGGTCTCAATTGTTAAAGACTTACTGCATGATATTCCATATTAGTAGGAGTAAACAATAAATCTTAAATCCACTAAAACGAAAAGAAATAATGCTTAATATTCCCTATTGAAATACCATAAAATACAGTAATTCATGACACATTAAACAAATAACAATATCTCCGGTAGCCGAATCCCTCAAACCCGGACCTCTCCGATAACCGGAACTGAAATTTTCTTGGAAAATTGTTCCCAAAGCCGGAAGTTTCCACTCACCTAATTCATTAACCACCAGTGAGTCAGTCAGGTCATTATTGCAGAACTTATATGTGTGACAGAGCACAATAAAAGGTGTGTCATGAGTGACTGCAGCGAGGGCGAGGCTGGCAGTTCCACACATTCCTTGTACGGCTCCATTCATCATCACTGCTTCAGCTTCTACCACCACTTTCGTTACCTAAACAGATTTTTTTATTTGTAATGTAAGAATTAGGAACATCTTAAAATGCTAATGAAAAACTCCATCTCTCAACATGTATAGTACCCATGTTGCCTCATTCCACCCAGGTACAGTACTTTCAGGAAGCCGCTTCAATAAATTAACCTCAAAGGCTGCCCAAAGCAATGGCACTATAACCCTTCCTGTCACCTTACAGTACAGTATGCTGGTTACCTTCTCATCTCTTTTAACTTTACCCTTAAAATGGCTCTTTTCAAGTCTTAGTTACCAGTATCTTATAAACTTCAACCAACTTTTTTTTTACTTCTGTCATTCTTTTTTACTTTTGTAACTGTTCCACATTTATATATTTTACTACCTATCTTGTATTATTATCATGTCTTCTCCTCAGTAGTATTTATCAGCCTTATCTTTGAAATGTTTGACTCTTTTATATTTTTTTCAGTCCAATAGTTACATTTCTTTCTTATTTTCATTTATCACATATTTTCTGCCTCCATTATGCTCTCTTTGGAATCCACTACATACCAATAGCCTCCAAGTCTCATCAGACCTTCTGCACTCAAGTCAGTATTTCTCACCTTTTATAGTGATACTTAATATCCAGATTTCTCAGCTTCTCTCCATCCATCCTCATTTCCCTTTTATCTAATCCTTTTGGATAATATATAAACTGAATTAATTTCCAACTTTACTAATACAGCACAGTAGCCAAAATTCGGCAGTACAGAATAAACCCCTCCAAAAAGTCTTGTTTATTTGTTCCCCTTTAGTTACCTACACTAATACACACACACAAGATTTATTTACCAACCTCTCTTTGTACATCAATTAAAATTTTCTATGTTTATACTTACAGCCAGCACTCACCATCCTCCCCTGATACCTGTCACTCTCATGCTTGTTCCAACCAAAATTGCCTTCCTTCCTTCATCAAAGTCTTCTATACAATATAGTATTCATATATTACACTATGTACCCAAATTTTCTTACTTCTTTATCTTATTTACCTTATTCATGGAAGTATAAGAATAAATCAAGACATATTCATCTATAAAATTTAAAATTTCTTAATTTACACATACTGCCCTGCCACACAAGTGTGAGTCTTGGTGAAGTCTTAAGTACCATTCTTTGTGCCCTACCTCTATACTCCCCTTCTATATCTGCCTATCTAAGCCCTTCCCTTTCTTATTTTCTTGTTTGTTTCTATTTTTCTAAAGTCTTGTAACAGAGAAGTGCATTTTTAATTCAAGAAACATCCAATAATTTTAATCAAATTAATAGTCTACTAATTCATTCCCTCCTTCTCATACAGCCCAAAACCTTTTTTGACAATATTGTGTCTTCCATCATCACCATCAACAAATAGCTGCCATTGGTGGTCCACTTTAACCAAGTGACACAGTACAGTACAACCATCAATATCATTACATGTACACATAAATCAGTCAGACCGGTTTAACAAAAATATAACTTGAGAATAAAACTTTAATCCAGTTTTTGTACAAAATTTCCCTCAAGTTATCTATATAGCACAGGGGGCCCCCCAAGTTCACGGAATTTTATTTCACGGTCCTCAATTATTCGCGGATGACACCCTGAATGTACCCAAGAATGTCTGTGGGTAGTTTTAAAGTTGCCGGCATTTTTGTGGCTGGGACAGAGAGCCATTCGTTCTAGAGACAGTAATTTCCTTTACCTGTATTATATATATGTGCATGTGTAGACACACACACACATACAGAAAACAGGTAAAAGAAATAATTGTCCTAAGGGCAAACACATAAAGGGAATATATGTACACAAGTAAAAATGTAACCCCGCCCCCCCCTCCTCGCAAATGCTATTCAAGGATTTGGCAATTCGCCTTCATTTTGAGAGCCTAACCCCCACGAATTTGGGGGGTTCCCTGTATGTATTATTTGTACTGTAAGAGGAAGATCATGTTGCCAGAAATGAAGGTCTCACATTATAAGTCACACTCACCTTGTGCATTATGTGTGTAACATCTGTGATGAGTCTGTAATAGGTTGTAACTCCCAAAGCTGAGAGTATCTTGACCATGGCAGCACCAGAAGGAGGGTATGGAGTGTCTGCCACAACAACACTAACTCTACGGCCCACATTACATGCAGCTTCAACCACCTCAATCACCAGGGCAGAACTAAGAACAAAAAATGTAATGGTTGGTTTTAGATGAATTGCTTTAATACACTGAGTAAGTAATCAACCACTGTATACTGAAGCAAAAATTCACATGACAGGAATTGGCTTCATTAATCTCAAACCATGTACAGTACAGCAAAAGAAAACTGTAATACCCCATTTTCATTATTTTTCTTACTAGCTTTTGTATAATATGGACACGAAGTAGTACCTTAAGCTGTGTATTCTTATATTACTCTATTAATTATGTATAGTAAAGTATTACAAAACATGTGTTAATCCTATGTAATATTTCCATTTATTATGCACCATGTTATGTATGTGAATTATCATATTTACATATTATGTATTCAGCTTGTGAATGCTGGCATCTGTACATGCCAGCACGGAGTGATACAGAGAGTTGAGATCACTAGTCCTTATGGTGTGGAACCCTACGTCTATTTGTTTCCTCTGCATATCTCCCGTACGAGAATAAGAACCTATATTCAAGATAACAAGTGTTTGTGTATACCCTCAGTAGTGTAGAACATTTTGGGGGTACCAAAGACAAACATAGATGGCGCAGTGAGATTTCTCAGTGAGATACAGAGTGAACTTAGCCTTCCCGCCGGACTGTGTTAATGGAATCTCGTCTTCAGCTTCGCCAAGGATTTACAGCCAGACTACAAGCCTCAGGACTTACAGCGTTGTGAAGTGCTATGCTGTGTACAGTGCTGTGCTGTGAAGTGAAGTGTTCTGTGAAGTGCTGTGTTGTGTATTTTATATCAGAATTGTCTGTGCAAACTGCAGTCAGATGACTGAGGGAGCGGCCCAGCAGTACGTCCCCTCCCGCCTATGGTCATTGGGTAACTGAGCAGCGCGTTGCGGAATAAGAACCTATTTTCAAGATAACAAGTGTTTGTGTATACCCTCAGTAGTGTAGAACATTTTGGGGGTATCAAAGACAAACATAGAGCTTTAATCAAACTCACACGTGAAAGCATTACCCTTTAGAGCAGTGGTTCCCAACCCCTTTTGGCTGTGACCCTAAATTTCCCAACAATACGGCATATAATATATTACTGTATACAGCTTTAATGTTAAGTAAAAATTTGTTTGACTATGATAAGTACTATATTTTTCAAATTGTCTGAAGGCCCCTCGCGACCCTACTGAGGACACCCCGCGACCCTGATTTGGGTCGCGACCTGAGATTGACAACAGCTGCTTTAGAGTGAAAGAAGGTTAAATTAGAGTTTTATTTTCTGTACAGTATATGTCTAATGATAGAACATCAGTCCCAATGACTTGACCTGAGTAACTTGAATTCTCCATTCAACTAATGGCTTACAACATACAGTATTTGCTATATAAATACTATTATCCATTCAGTAATGAATATATTTTTCCTTGAACCCCAAAATCTTTAAAAAAAGTCTTACCAAAACAAATTGCCTGGAAAAATAAGCAATACTTGACATGTCTTCTGGCAGTACAGTAGTTGTGTCCAGAGATACAACAGAAGGTAAAGATTTTTAAAAACTATTATGTTAACTTTTTTGTTTGAGTTATGTGGCATATATTTTATTTTATTCAATATTATGAACTAGAAAAATTCATAAGAAAAAATTCACTTATTCAATAAATATTTTCCCTCATAAGAACTTCAACACCTACTAACATTAACACACTTTCCTGAGAAGCTGTTTTTCACTTAATGTTCTTTGTTATTTTATACATGATTATACATTATATTATTATTTACATACATCATTGGCATGTGTGATAGCTTGGCTAATTTGATTCACTTTTTCCATCATAACATTTGAATTTTGTGTCAAGGGATTTCGCTTTAATTATACATATAAAATACAGAAATTTAAACAGTAAAAGAAATTGTTGTTACAAACCCCTTCAATCAAGGGCTTCTGGGAACATATAAAATTTAGAATTTGATGGCTAAGCAGAGGGAGAAGGTGAAACTAAATCTTTGACACTAATACTGCAGTTCAAGCCACCCAACTGTTTTGTCCTTTTAGTTCCCTTTCCCAAACAACCTAAGATAGTGGACAAGTAGTAAGAAAGAGAAACACACAGCTTCAAATATTTCAATCCTGTTCAAATATGTCCAACAGGGCTGGATAAACTTCCAACCACTGGTAGTAGTTACAGATGATTAGTATTGACACGATGGTCAGCCTAAAAATTTCAGGTGCGTTTTGCATAAAATAAATTTTCTTTTCTCTTAGTTGGAAAACAAAGTTCAATAATGCCACCAGCCTCTGAAAGATACACCCACTAAATCCCCCATCCACTCATACAGACAGCATCTTCAGAGCACAAGTGATGCTTTCATATATAATTTCTTTCATGAAGACAGAATTCATCATAATTACTGTATACGAAAGAGAAGGATGATTACTTACTACCCAAAGGTGAGTATAACATCTCCATCCTGGATAAGCATGGCAGCATGTGAGGCTATAGTACTGCTGCCCAGGTTAATGTTATCTTGCACATATTCATCTATGGCTGTTCGCAGTTCATCCTTGGCTTGTGCTTCAGGCATGTTGGGCTCAATGCTGTTGATCTTATGCTTTAAAAATCTGAAATTCACAAACACAAAATTTATGCAATTTTGGAAATTCTTGTGAAGAGTACTGTACTGTACCATGCTCACAAAGAGTGGTACTGTACCTTCCCCTCTGCCAGTATACAAGGTCTCTAGGGTTATGTTAATGAACTTAAACTTATCATTATATCATATTACCAAAATATCTCACCGTATGGCATTGTCCATAGCAATGGCTTGAGGTCGACAACCATTAAGGAATGCCACATTTGGGAGCAGTTTTTCGGCCAAATCTCTGGAAAGATCACATGACTCTGGTGTTCGATAATCGTGAATAAATTGTTTAAGAGCCGCCAGTGTAGAAACAACTCTAGCTGTTGATCCATCCACAATACGATCCTATGAAAATTAAAAATTTTTAGTAAGGGGTCAAAAAATATATAAGTGATGGCCCAACATACAGAGCAGACCCCATGGATATACTGGCAAGCTATGATCTCTTCACATGCTGGAGACTTTAATCTATTTACAACATTACCTAATGTACTTTATTCTAACAAAAATATTATCAAATTTTGTTCTTCAAGTGATATTAAAATGCTGCTCAATACAGGAGCGGTACATTTGACTGAGAGAAAGATTACTAGACACATTCAAATTGGGGAAAATGTTATGAAAACTGAATTCCTATATAAAAAAAAGAAAAAAAAGAAAGATCATTCATTTGTTTCCCTAATTCTTTAATGTATTATCCAATAAATATGAGTTGTATAGAAAGGTCTTGTACACAAGACAAAGTATGAACTACTATAAGGTATCCCTTGCTATATGAATAGGTTAGGTTCCTTGAAAACCCTTCGTTAAGTGAATGTTCAATTATTGAATAACATTCTGTATGGGAAAAAATTGGGCTTGGTTCCCCAATGACAAAAAGATCCCAATATAACACCCAAAAAAATGAAATAGATTCACAAACAACAACAAATCCACATAACTACTGTAATTTAGAGCCCAACACATTACAAATTAATAGAATATAAATTTGGTACATTACGTTAAGGGACTATATTTGTGTAGGTGAGAACAGCTTTCATATAAAGTAGTGAGAAAGAGGTGTAAGAATAGAACATTTGTACAGTATAAGCAAATACTCAAGAGTGAACATTTGTATAGAGAGAGATACCTGTATTACTGCACGATTAGATCACAGTGACTGCTCAAATGCTAAGCTTCAACTAAATTACACTTCAACAAATATTGGAGTTGAGAAATATGGTTAAGATACCAGGGTTAAGATGGCCAATATATGAATTAAAAAGAAATTACATATAAAGTATACCAGTATATACTTTATATAAGATAAATTACCTTCATCTTTAAGCCAAGAGTTCTGACAGCTGGATGGATGGTGTCACAATTGACAGGTAATAAGGGGGGCTGGGAGGAGTATGGAGTGAGGTGACCCAATAAAGGAATCCTACGGTCAGACGGTCCCTTACTGAAACTCTTTCTGTCTTTTAATCGCCTCAAACCTTCACCTTCAAGTTTCTTCTTCTTCTGGGGTAGTCTTATTTTATTGTTACTAGGGTGAGCCTCTTCCTGCCCCTTCTGCTGTTTTTCTGCTTCTTGTTTGGCTTTGGCTGCTAGCTTTGCCTGTCTCTGGGCCTCCTGCTTTTCACGTCTCTCTCTCTTCAAATCCGCTTTGGACTTGCCAGCTGCATCACTCTGATCAGTTCCCTCAAGTGCTACAGATAACTTAGTATGTTGCTGGAGTTGCCCCTGTTGGTCTCCAGGCTGTATCTGCTGAGTGTTGGTAGCCATTGACATTACCTTCTCTTCTTGAGATTCCTTTTTCTTGTTCTCTACGTTAATATTTTTATAATTCTCCTTATCATTTTCACTTTTAGCTTTTTCTCCACCTTTTTTCTTTGCCTTTTTTGCTTCTTTTCGACCTTTTCTCTCACACTCTATTTCCTCCTTTGTCTTTTCTCCTTTATGCTGTGATGTAGTAGTGGGGGGAGAGTCTGTGGTTGAGGGGGGTACCTTCACTGGTGGTGGTCCTGTAATAGTTTGGCTAGTTTGTGCAACTGGTAATTTTATTGTGTTATTACTCATAGCCTCTTTACCACTGTGCTGAATGACAATATTCTCCAAAAGATTACATAAATTATCTAATTTATTTGTTTCAGACATGATGATGCCTTTATCTCCTTCAGATTTTAATGTGATAAAATTGGCATCAGATGTTCCTTTTGTCAATGATGTGCTTTGCTCTTTCACATCTGACAGTGAATTAGCCTTTTCCACACCAACAACTGGTATGAATGATGACAGTGTTTCTAATGTCAACAGTTGTGATGTAGTAATGGGAGGCAAAATGCAGTCCTGTGCAGGTGTTGGTTGTGGTGAGTTAGGTTTCCTGTGTGACTGCTGATTTTTGGAAGATCCCACTTTGGTTTGTTGTTGTTGTGGTGGTAACTCTAATGGTGCATCAGCCTCTAAAGTTATAACATTCTCTGATGCTTCTGGTGGTAAGCCTAACTTTGGAGGACTTGAGAATTTTGTATTTGGTGACTTGGGTTTTGGTGAGTCTGCTTTTGCTGATCCTAGTTTGGAAACTGGTCCATTTAATGGTGACTTTTTTGTCAACACCACATTTGAAGTGCCACCTTTTGGTGTCTCTGGTTGTTGGGGTCCAGTGGCGCACACCCCTGGCTGTGGCTGCCCTGTTTTCACTAATCTAGCACTGAGGGCTGATCTCTGGGGAGTTCTTTTTTTTGGTGATAAAGATTGTGGACTCCCTTTTTCTGGTGTGTTTGGTTGCTGGTGGCCTGCTACAAGGGGCACTGGTTTTGGCACTTCAACTTCTGAAGGCACTGACACAGGTCCTCCTCCCTGTAATGGCTCTCCTGGGATCCTCCCTGGACTAGGAGATGCACATGCCCCAGACTGAGACGTCCTCTTTTTGGATCGTTTTCTGGGTTTCCTACGTTTGGATCCTTCCTGTAAAATAGAAACTGTCAGTGTCAAATCATCTACAAAAAGATCATAACCAATTTTTTAATTAAATAATGATAAATAGGCAAGAAAAATCAGGCTACTTAAAAAAAAAAGCATAACTACCAATATAAAAATATAAAACAGCTACTAAATGAAATCTCATTTCACAGCAGACAGGAGACGGCTCGTGATTTGTGAGATTCCTCCACTATGGCAGATCCTGCCTGTCTTGTATTCTTGAGGCCAATACACTGCCCTGCTGGATCATTCCTGCTGCAATAATAGTTACTAACACAGTCAAACCAGGATTAAAAAGGTGGGGCCTCAACCCTCACCAGGTGCTGGAGTTACTTTACAAGCCAGCAAGCCATCAGGGATGATGATCCCCGGAGCCAGTTCACTTGACATGAGCCGATCAGTCACCAACTTAATTTATGAACTTCAATCCTGACATTTTCTTACCAATAAGGAGACCTAATATGGGATCCCAAGTCATGTATGAAGAGAACCAAACAATAAACTCCAACTCAGGACTGTTATCACACCTCAAGAAAAATAAAGAAAACTCGAGCTATAAGAGCTTCAGTCTGATGAAGATTCACCGCCCAGGAGGGTCAAAGTCCTCACTCAAGTAGAAAGACAGTTTTCTGGGAAGGTCTTTAAAAGTACACAGAGTCTCCACATTGAGATGAATCAACTTTGAGGCCTTACAAATTTCTATGTACAGCCACTCCTCGACTTACGACGGGGTTAGGGACCCCAATCCAGGTCGTAAGTCGAATGACGTATTGTAACATGTACTATATAAGAGTGTACATGTACGGAGGGAGTTCATTGGAGGACTCGCTATTCAAATAAAAGTATCTGAAGGCGGACTACGCGGGGAAACCTGAACTCTGAAGGTGAGTGAGAGTGGCAGCCTCACAGACATCAAACACTGGGAAATACTCCAAGGCAACCAAGCAGATAGAAAAGGAAACCTCATCAGCTACTTCCAAAAAAAAGGTAAGAGAGTGAAGGGAGGACATAGTGTAAATATTAGTGAAGGGAAGATGAGAGGACAAAATACCTCCAATCATACAACTTACCAGTAACTCCCCTCTTCCCTCATTACAGTACAAGAACCTGATACAACAGACACCCAACATCAGTGCGGGGATGAAAGGTCATGGCGACAGCAACCAAAGAGTTCCCAAGGACACACTAAGGATTCATAATATTCCCGAGAACGTACCCAATACGGATCAGAGCGGACGGGAAGAACCCGAAAAAGACAATAACAAAATGGATCGAGGAAATGGAGCCGAGGAAGGAATTCCTAATGAACTGGAATCCAGAAGTGATCCTCTACCAAAGCCAAGAGAAGACAATGGCCTACTGCCTACACCTAGTGAATGTGAGCAGCAAACAAACGAGGGAAGAATTGTATCAAGTACTAGCAGAAAACAAGAGGATATTCCCAATACAGGGACAAATACACAACCACCCAGCCAAGAAGAAGCCCACTATCATGGTAAATATAAAGAATGGCAAAGGAGGTCTGAAAGCACTACTGACGGGGTACTAAAAGGAACAAGAATACTACCTGACGGAGGAATCGGATCCATTCTCGAATTTGATGAAGATACAAGAATGAAGTATCACGATATTTACACCAGAGAAAGAGGAGGACAACAAGCTAGTACTAGCAGCGGAACACCAAGAGGAACAACAGAACTAAAGAAAAAGAGAAGCAGAGACAGAAATGGAGGAGATACTACAAGATGCACAAGACGTAGACTGGACTTTGATGATGGACCAGAGGCACACGAAAAGGGAGGAACTTCCAACACTACTGAAAAGCCTACCAGCGAAGAGGACGAAATGGACACGGGGGGACTGGAAGAGAGTGAAGATGATCAACAAATGGAAGAAAGGAAGTACTACACCTTCATCACAAGAGTCAAACTAACACTAACAAGAAAAGGAAAAACACCAAACTTCACCTGTACGGATCACGGTGACCACTGACACATCACCTTCAAAAGCACAAAGAACAACGTTGCAAGAAAAAGAAGAAATATCTGCACCTATCTGGAGCTTAGAGGCCATGCCAGCGACGAAGCAGCAGCATCAAAAATACTTATTCGACTATTCTCCAGGTGGATACAGTATCTTATCCGCTACTGAATAGAACGACTTCAGTATTTTGGTACCGTTGGTGCTGAAATCAGAAATCTAGTAGCATACTTGAGCGACAACAAAACAGAAAAAGAAATAACAGAGCACTAGGACAAAAAAGAAAGGATACAGAGTTTGACTACATCCATCAAATGATCATAACAAAAAAAAGCCAATACAGTAATAGAACTACTGAAGAAACAAACAGAAGAAGAGTTCAGAACTATGTACAGTACATAGGGAGTACTGTACATACAAACACAAGATAAAGAGTTTACTCCAATATACAAACAAGATGAGTCAAAGAGACAAGAAAATGTCGTCCAAATTCACACAAGAGGTACAAAAACAAATTACTAAATCCATTTTAAATGACCATCCTATAAAAAAGATGTTGCAACTCCCCACAACAAATAGCACTGGTAAGAAATCAAGATAAAATATTAAGCTTTAAAAGCGAAAACACAGGAAAGTTCAAAAGAATTTCCCCATCACACCAACCAAAAAGACAAAGGCTTTTAAAAAGCCACACCTCTAGAGGTCAGAGCCTCAGAGGACTAAAACCTCTCTAATCTGAATTTACTTCAAGATTAATTGCATGAGGCATCCAGACTGCCCTCAGATCTGGAGCCCAAGTTTGTCATGTCAAAAAGTCCTAACTCCTGAAAGCACACATTCTATTTATGTGGCTGAGCCAAGTAATGGGCAAAGCAGTATACTGTACAGTGGTCCCTCGATTAACGAACGGTTCAATTGACGAAATTTCGGTTGACAAATTAGCTCCCATAAGGATTTTCAGTTCCATTAACGAACAAAACTTTGTGCGCATCAGCTGATCGGCTAGTCTGCCAATACAGTAATTGGTTCTATGTTTACATTCGTTTCCAGTGGAGTAAATATCAAGAAAGTTGTGCTCTTGAATATATTTTCATTTTTTATATTAAAATTATTGGTCATTCTGAAATTTAGTTAACATATTAATAATATATACAGAACAGGGAACAGTTTTTGTGTGCCCTTCAGCTGATCGAATCACCCACCAACGCTTCTCAATTCAACTTTGTTTACAGTAAACATCGAATTTGTTGGTCTCTTGAATATTTTTGCATTTTTTATATTAAAATTATTTGTAATTCTGAAATTGAGTTAACATATTGATAATATACAGTGCAGAAATTATTATGAAACATAAAGAAGGCATTAGAACCAATGCACTCTGTAAAGATTATGGCATGTCATTATCAACTGCCTCTACAATCAGCTGTTTGATATGTAAACAAAGCTGCTGGGAATACGACATACACACCTCAAAGTTAGTAAAATACAGTATTCTATTGTTTTTCTATTTATTGTACAGTACAATACAGTACAGTACTGTATTTAGTTTATATTTAATATTTTGTTAATTCTATTACCGGTATACAGTACTTTGTATGTATACTTTTTCTGTGAGTTGGAACCAATTACCCAATATCCCAATTGTGTTCGTTAATCGAGGGACCACTGTACCGTACAGTGTATGAGGAGAGGTAGGAAAGTCAATCAAGCAGCTGAGAGGCTCAGACAGGTCATGTCATGGCTACTGAGCCTCTAGGCTCCAGTAGCCCCCAGTTTGCTCGTGTCCAGTCTACAGAGTGTTTATGAAGAAAGAATTCATCCAAATTTTTGTGTTACCCCTGTATAAGGAACAGTACTGTCCTGCTTGTAGTGTGTTATGTACATTCACCACAATACCAAAATTAGGCAGTGGGCAACAACTGAATCAGGGATGGAGCTGGCTTCAATAACCATATATTGGCTGGGAGAGTAGCTGCTAATATAGCAGTTACACTGGGAAGAAAATACTGTACTGTACAGAGTATCTGCCTCCATAATGCAGATAGCAGTCTGGACAAGGAAGGCTCTGCCACTGGGTATGCTGGAAGTAGAATCTCACAAGTTTCTTGTTGAATGACCATAAACAGGCCACAAAAAACTATAATCATAAAAGAGGTAGTAGCTACTTATTACCTATTATTATGATGGTGCCAAGTGGACACCAATAAAATCATTAACTAATTAAAAGTACAGTACAGTATACTGTACTATATAGCACTACATTAGCAGAATGTACAACAAAAATGCCTAAGTGACAACTATGCTAATGATATAAAGCTAAAATGACCAACAGGAATTCATTGACACTATTAACACAACATCTGTACAAGTTTGGCAACAACCAGTTCACAGTACTGTACAGTATATCACCATAATCAGATCTCACAATAATCATTCCTAACACTATCAAAAGCACTGTACAGTACAGTACTGTACTGTATATAGTGCAAACTAAGGCTATAGGAAACAGTCAATGTAAAAAATAAAATAAAATAAAAACACATATACTGTACTGTACACAGTAACTGGGTCAACACATAAAGAACCACAACAAAACAGATAACAATCCCAGATACAGCAGGAAAATATAGAGGAAGAGTAAAGAGTTTACAATTCTGTGCAAAATCCAATGTTGCATTATCAAAGGCTGATCTGTTTAAGAGCTAATCCTCTGTGGTGACAGAAGACCACTAACACCACCAGCAGGTCTTCAAGTTGCCACTTGAAGATAAAATACGAACACCCAACATCAGTGATGGCTACTTGGCAACTAAGGTAACCTCTTATAATGATGATGCAGTATATATATAGAGAGAGAGAGAGCGAACAAAATAAAAAGAGAAAAATGAAAATCATATTAAAATTAATTTTTAAAAATCCAAACAGTAGAGTAAAGCACTGCATCAGCTGATTTCTTATGTTGCAATTGCAATCATCTGGTAAACAGGACGACACCTCTGCCAAGAGTAAGCGAATTACTGTAGTGCTTCAGACATTTATGATGCCTCTTATCAGAGTAAACCTCAAACAGTCTTGGTTGCAACTGAACTTTGAGAAAATAAACTGTATATTGGTGATACCACACACCAACTCAATGTCTTTTTTCTGATGCTTGGTGTCATATCATTAAATAGGCCAAGTCACATCATGGTACAGTACAGCATTAATACATATCAACAAGTGATTTCAAATTCAACATTTTAAATCATCAAGACTTCACATGGAGAACAGATCAGTGAAATGGTTCAAATGAAGAGTCAAGAATCAGTACAGTATGCAAATACGGAGAGAAACAGACAACTGGCCCCGAAATCCTTTTTTCTGGTGGAGTCAGTACCCAGGCAGCTCTAGTATAGAGCCCCGGAGTTCTAGGACAACCCCCTAATGTAAGCCTGGGTTAATCTGTTGGGACATACCAATCATCCTTCTCTACCTCTTTCACAGTTTGCCCTAACCCCTTGTATACAGGTTACCCTTTGGGTTGAATAAAATTGTCAGGCATTAACAAGATAAAATATCAAAAGTGACGTCCCTGTTGTGAAGAGGTTAAATGAGAGGAACTTGGTGGTTCTTTTAGTGCCATGACTGCTCCATCAGCACTCACCACCCCAAGGCTATTGTTTGACTTATTTAGTTCCATGGCTTATCTACCATGGGAGGGAGGAAGGTTTCTGGCCTGTCTGGCAACAGGCTCCACGAGAAAAGGCATTTCAGGATTCTGTTGAAATCGTCTCCAAAAAGTAAACATAACATGCAGGTTAGAAATAAAGACAAAAACTAAGGATTACAAAGTCTAAATAAGGAAACTACAGGTATGAGGATTCCATTTCACTAACAGTAAGCTATCCACCACTATCAAAAGGGACATTAACCTACCTGCTTGACACACCAGAGAAACTAAGTGCCCCTAGAAAATCAAAGCCTGAAAATGATAATATAAAGATGAGGAGGTTTTTTTTTTTTACTCAACTCCTAACCTAAAACCAGTAAAGGAATAAAAAGAAGTTTTAGTCAAACTTAACCAGGAAAGCATAAAATATCCTACAAGGACAATGTGGATCCCACTGGGGACAATGGACTGTAGTGATGGCCATTGTGACAACTGAAGACTCATTTCCACTGAAAGAATCTCAGCTCTCTTGTCACTTTTACATTATAAATAATGAAATACAGTGGTATAGGGGAATGTTGGTGGTCTGCTGAGGTACTGTACTGTGAAGGATGCAGCCTGGGAGGACAATGATCTCCCTCCTGAGTAATGCTGCCAATCCAGGTATGATCCCTTCTAGGTGCTCACAAAATACTGAGATACTGTATATGGTTACGATAGCAATCAACATAAAAATGACACACTTATACAATAAAATAAAGTATGCACATTTAGATATCCTTTTGTACACTCTAGGACTAAAGTCGTGGACAGTTGCACAGAGCCTACACTACAGTATACTATTTCCACATTAACCTGGCCTGTAAGCCACGCCCCTCGTCTGTAGCTACAAATAGCTGATTGGTTCAGAGAAAATGTTCGTGTAGCTGTCCATTTATTCAAACTAAATATGTTCACAATTAGTAAGCAGATCTAATGTTAAATATTTATAATATCAGAATGCAAATGATTTCAAATTTCCTAACATCCTCTCTGAAGTATTAATGCCTTGAAATCACTTACTGATGTCAAGCCATTAGCATTTCAGAGAGGATGTTAGAAAATTTTGAATGAAGTCTTTTCATTATTTCTAAAATATCAAAATGAAAATTTTGCATTTTGATAGTCCAAATATTTAACATTATTTTAGATAATAACAGATCTGCTTACCAATTGTGAACATATTTAGTTTAAATAAATGGACAGCTACACAAATAATTTCTATGAACCAATCAGCTAGTTTTATAGAAAAGGGGCATGGCTTATGGGCCAGGTTAGCATGGACATACTACAGTGTGCCTCTGGCAGAGAAAAATCATAAGTTAAAACTATACTGTAATATGACAACAATAAAGTAATGAATAAAATAAAATAGTACTTTAAAAATCACATGCAGTTCAGAACAGCCCATCCAAGACAAAATCAGAGTTGTTTCAATTTCAAAACAATCAATATAAAATAAGATTTCCCAAGACTTACTGCAGCAAGAGGACAAAATTATGTCTTTTCCTACACAGTGAGCTGCTACAGGACATAAACAATGCAGTAGTGTGAAGGTTATGTACAGCTGCAAGTTATCCTGTCACAATACATATTCTGCTTAAAAAACAAAAAATTTCACATCGTACTACTTTAACTGTGACCTAAGAAACATCACTATGAAATTAAAAGGTCAAAAATCAAAGGGAGACAATGGGCACCTGGCTGCTGAATCAACAATAAGTATCCCAGTAGAGGTAGAGTAGTGTGTGTCAGCTACACTAAGTCATGTGAGAAGACTCAGGACTTCAGTAACCCACAGGGTGTTCATTTAAATCTTGTCTTAACAGCATTACTCAGGTTAAAGATAATGAAAAATGGTAAGTCTCAAAGTTCTAACACAACTTTGTACTAAGAAACTGCTACACACTACTAATTTATATCATGCATACAGCACATTATCTTTATGATGGGGTAAACCAAATGGAGGTACACTTCACCATTGCTGTACTAGATTTTGCATCTAATATTCAGGTCCTACCATTCATCCAGCTAGATGGTAGGCCAGTTTCTGAAGCTATTTATTCCACATGGACAAATAACAACAAAAAGATTTATTATACTGTACATAAATGTATTAACTGCCAGGAAAACACACTCAACTATCCTAATATAAAGCTTTAAAAATGCAGCCATGTGTTTACAGAGACTGTTAGGGGGTATTTATAGGGGATGGCTTTGGTGGGTTGCAACATCAAGATGTCCCATACTCACAGGGGGAGCCATGTTGCCTACACCTTGTGGTGATGCAGCTGTTGGGTGGAAGAAATCACTATTACTCTAGCTTTTATGACAAATAAATAAGAAGAAAGAGCAAATGGAGAAACAAAGTGATAAAGGTCTATATTTAAAAAGGTATAAAATGAAGACAAATTAAAGAGAACATGATAAAAATAATACTGATCCCGGCATCCCATTTCATAACCCAGCATGGAACATGTGACTCTCGTACAGTCAACAAGTCATAAATTTGACAGCAAAAGACTCCTTAGGACCCCTACCATGTGTGGTTAGAACCAATGACAAAAATATCCCAAACCCAAACTTAACCCAACATGACAAAAGAAACAAAGGAACCTAAAGAACCAAACCTGACTTCATGGTCAAAAAACTAAAAAAAATAAATAAATTGGAAAAAATTACTTAGAGTATTTTTTGCTCTATCTCCCTATACAGTACAGTACTGTATTCAAATCAATATACAGGTAATTCCATGGCTGACCTTTTCTAGATCTTAACCACTTTTACGAGGAATAGCCTACCCTGACACAGGTCATCAACCCACAACGGGGCCTGGGGGTATGAGTAAAAAGAAATTAAAAATAGAAGAGAAAAAGATTAAATTAATCTACACCACGAAGCTTAGAAAACAGCTACCACCAAATTTTTTTTTATTTCATTCATTTTTTCCACATACATTCTTATCATTGCAGTAAATATTTTTAAAGAGATGACAACTTTTTAATTACACTAAGTATTTTTTTTTTATCTTTAAGGTAGTTTTCTCTACCTACAACCATAAATTACCTGTAGTGGGCAGGGGATGAAGGATGAGGAAAATTGTGGGGTAAAACACCGTGAAAACTGATATGCAACTTAAATGACGCCTTTATGTGCTTTGTACATAAAGAAATTAATTATTTACCATTAATACAACTCTGAAATATCTGACGAGTCGCTGCCTGTCATCTGTCTGTTTACAACTGACCCACTAGGTCTGAGCGCATTCTTACGTCCACAAAAAACGTAAATTACATCATGATGCTTCAATAAAGTTGCTTTCATTGGTACCAGATATCATAATAAGTATTTTCTGTTTTATATGGTTAGTAAGTTTCTTTGGTTGGTTAGGTCAGGTTCTGTTAGGTTCTAGTAAATGTTGCCTCTTTTAAAATACTTACTATAGTGATAAGAACATCTGTGGAAAAAATGACCAAAATCAAAGAAATCCTTCGGGCGGTAGTGGTGTTCTCAGATATTACCCGGTATAGTGTCCAAGGTGTAATTCAGACTGTTGGTATCGTCAAGATCGCTACACTTGGTATTGGAGTATAAGATAGACATTTGTGGCTGCTTCGTGTCAGCAACAAGAAAGAGCAATACAGCTAATATTTTGCTCAGTACAGTACCTGCTCCAACACCAACATAAATATCATAACACCATACTAGCAGGAGTGGATCCTGGAATATGAGAAGGAAGGGGGAACATGGCAAGCACAGCAAGCTCATCCAGCTGGGGGTTTTGAAGGGGTGCTGTTACCACTCCCAGAATTTTCTTTTTAAATCTGACCAATATCACAGGCAATTTGAGACCATTATGAAGCCATGCTCACTTGATATTAGGAGATATTCTGAGGTCAATAGTAATTACTTTATACTATACAAAAATGCCTGAGTACAATACTGCATTAAAGAAAAAGTATTGGAATTTTCTGGTGAAAAGGAAGGTCCGGACCCCCAGGACCCACCTGGATCCGCCCTTGACTAGACCCCTTCATCCATCGAGTGGCATCACTTTATCCTCCCCCATCTGTTAATTAAGGGAAGTCTTGGTGGTCAATTTGCAGTAGTGAACCGTTCTTTCTTTGGGTATTAGAAATATGTTTTTTCCTATGGTTTTTGATGAGTTTGAATGGTTTTTGAGGAGTTTGAATGAATTTGAGACCACCCCCCCCCCCCCACAATCTTAAGTGAAGATGGAGAACAAGACCAAAATCCTTCAAAAGTCATCAAAAACCATAGGAAAAAAACATATTTCTAATACCCAAAGAAATATAACCTAACCTAACCTACCGATACACCCGTTTTGTGTAAAAACCACAGAAAATCACCCAAAACTAACCTAACCTAACTTAAATCAGACGATAAGCACACTGATTTTTACAGTTCGGACAACTCTGGTTGTTCTGTAATACACTATGTTTTCTAAAAAATGCAATGGCCTCTGTATTTTTCTGATGGAACTAGGCAATAGACATAAAATAATTGTGTTGACAATGTCCACACAGTTTTTCCACCTGTTCAGCCATACAGTATCTGGTACTGAAATTCAAAATTTCCCTCCCGAGTCCCGACACACCCACACACTGCCCATTGCCCAAGACAAAGACCTCTTATCCAATAATAAGTCGCCCCTCGCCCTGCGCTCCCCAATAATAATGTTACCCTCTACTTCCACTAAACAATAACAACTCCCACGCCCCCCCCCCCACACACACATGCGCTATAAATGAAGAAACGAACAAACAGAGACACGGGAGCACGAACTGAGGGGGGAAAGGGTTTCTCCGCTCCACGTAAACAAGGAATGGGGCCCCCCAGACTTGTGACATACAAATTGTCTAAACATCCGGAAAAACATATTTATAAGTAAAGTTAGGTTACCTAGTGAAAAACACTATGAAAACATATTTTTTTGACACTAACTAACCTAACCTAACTATAAAAAAAAAAAAAGTGATTTGCCCCAAAGATAATGTCAGAATCATCAACAACAGTAAGAATAATAGTGAAAAAATATATTATCACGTGAAAGAAGGTGAAGGTGATTGGTGGATAACGAAAAATAACAGTAATTTCCACTGGTCTCACAAGTGGGTGGTTGGTTACCTAAAGTAATTCACATATAAAAAAAAATATCCACAACTTCATATTCCTGTAATTTCCTCTAGCAACATACTACCGCCTAAAATAATTCTACCCAAGTTCTTCAATAATTTTTTTGTCAGTTCAATACCAATTAGGTGTCTTTAAACATTAACTCACATACGTTACTTGTTAAAGCTGCCCAGTAAAAGCTTGACGGTTTCCTCTCACTATCAAGCTTCAACCAGATAAAATAAATAATATACAGTTACTAACATTCTATAATTACTCTTTCCAATCTAATACAAATACAATGTTTCATCTACTACATCACAAAACAATATTTCTAAAACATCTTCCTAGTTACATCAGCTCACCTAAACATCCATATGTAAGATGTTTACTTGTGTGTCTTTTGTCTTCCTCTAGAGACCGCTGACTCACCCAGGTACAGATATTTGTCATGTGGTCGCTGGGTTAAACAATGATTACTGTCCACTCTATACAATGAATATTATTGGTATTGGTGTATTTTAATAATAATAAGATGAGTTACACAGCTTCGCCCTGGTTGAGACAGAATATGGAGTCTGATTTGTCCCAAGGGCTAAGTCACCCGCACCTCCTTACCAAATTTCAGATTTTTTTTTTAGATTGCCCCCGAGGTTGTTAGTTTATTGGGCACCCTCTTACATCCTGTGTAAGGTGAAGCACAGAAGCGTTTACAGTGCCCATCTGGGAAGCATGCGGAGTTCATGCTTGCCTTTATAACTCATGCATTAAGGGCGTAAAAGCCTAAAGGGTCATGGGTTTTGTCATCAAATTACATAAAGTGACAGAATGATGAGTGTATGGAAATTCCCGGTACAATTTATCTGTTTATGGCAAAGTGTGGCAGGTCCCTAATAATGTCAAGTGCCAGGCCTGTCGCTTGGAGGAGGGATATCTGGTCTGGGAGGGAAGAGGTGTTGGTAACGGCTGGGGACCTGTAGGAGGAGGTCATAGGGCAAGTGAGGATGTAGTGAGAGAGGATGTGAGAGTCGGTTGACCACAAAGTTTACAAACAGTGTGGCCAGGCTCAGGGATGCCAATGTACTAGGCGTGGCGAAGTACAATGGGGATGGAGGTGATATGGTGTGGTGGGACAGGTACAGTAGGGGTGGAGGGAGGCACATAGGCATTGACAATATTGAGGGACATACTTTTTAGTGTAATTGTGATGGCGTGTGTGTTGACATGCCGGTGGGGGTACAGGTAGCCGGGGGTGGTGTCCTCAGGTCCAATAGGTAGCCCTGGTGGAGACAGCTCAGACACAGTAGCGGGCGCGGCTTGCAGTGGGTGGAGGACAGGTTGAGGCACCACGTGTCGTGAAGATGAGGCAGGACTTTGCTCGGGGGCAGCAGGACACACTAGGGCAGGCTCGGTAGGCACTACACCAGTAGTGAAGGCAGCCGGCGGGGGAGTAAGCCCTGAGCAGGGGGGACTCACAGGGGGACTACCAGCTTGTGTCACACCAGAAGAGAGGAGTGACTGGGTGGCAACAGAGGGCAAGAGTAGGTCGGAGATGGTGGTACAGAGTGTAGCTCAGTACTTGCCAACAGTGCGTAACGAGACGTGACCGATCGCCCAAGCGGCTAACGAGCCAATCTTTTGGTGAAGAGGATAAAAAGAAAGGAAAGTAATCCAGAGACGTGACCGATCGCCCAAGCGGCTAATGGTAGTTAGTGGTGAAGAGGATAAAAAGAAAGGAAAAGTAATCAGAAGACGTGACCGATCGCCCAGAAGCGGCTAATAGAGCCGATCGGTAGTGAAGAAGGATAAAAATAAAAAGTAAGAGTGATATGATCTGTGTCATGTCACTGGAGGAGGGCACCGGTGGAAGCACAAGGCCTGACAGCATCAGAGTACAGACGGGGAGGAAGCCCTGTAGTAGTTGAGTTAGGAGAGGGCCGGGACTGCTGTTGCAGCCAGGTGAGGCCAGGTGTTGTTGAAGAAGGCATTGCTGGAGAGACAGAGGGGTGTGGCCCGGAAGACTGGGGGGGCGTTGTGGTAGACGCGGCCTTCGGGGAGGCTTTTCCCCTGGGACAGACGAGCGATTGGGGCATTGCCGTGAGTCAGTGAGTCAGTATTGTGCCGGCCGCCACAGTTACAATACATAGCCCACACCACCCCTATTAAGGTGGTCTTTGATTTTCTGGGCACAGGCGGCGGAGTTATGGTTACGTGAACAGAAGCGACACCTGGGACGATCACGTCGGCAGCAGGCAGTGAAGGTGTGACCCCAATGAGAACAGAAAACACAAAATGCAGGCCCAGGGTGATACAGTTCTGCATACAGTGGAGGGGGGAGTGGGTGGGCTTCCACAGTGGTTGGGCACTCCCTTCTGGGGTCTTCCCCCGGTAATGTCAACGTATACTAAGAATACTAGAATTAAAGTCACGCGCATCTTCGATGTCAGCGAATAGGGGAAACGTTTCACTAGGATGTGGCAACATTCATCAGCGTCTACTGGGGGAGGCACCAGGACAACTCCGTCAAAGTCAACAGTACTAAGTGTTTCACAGACCTCAGGAGTCTGAAACTTGATAAAGTTCTGGTTCTTACCTTGCCTGAATTGAATGTTGAGACCATGCTGTCTGTAGTACCTCATCATCCAATTAAAGCGTTCCTCTACAGTTTTCAGTGAGTCCATGGGGAAGTGTAGATTAAGCTTATGGTTGGCAGAGGGCAGGATGATAGGGTCCGTGGCATTAGTGTTTCCACTCCGGCTTGTGTTTCCCATAGAAACATTACCGTCACTGTCATAATCACTGGGGTCTGACTCTTGAAGGGTGTTGGATTCAGTATGACCAGGCTAGTTGGCGATGGCATCCGTATCAGAGATGTCTGCATCCATGAGAGAGTCTCTTCTGAGATGTTTATGTCGACCCCCCATGCTGGCAAAAACTTGCCAGCTGAGGGGACCTTTGTGGGAAGATCGGGAAGTCAAGAGCACCTATGGGCACATCTGTCCCCTTATGTGGTCACGCCACGACTAACCAAATTTCAGCTCGTCTTCAAAACTGTGGAAATGCATCCGAGTCCGACCCGCCCTGCTCCTCGTGTAGAGAGAGATGGAGCACGACCATCTCCTAGCCGAGAAAAGTGTGGGAAGCGGCCCTAGGGGCCCTAGACCACACACATCTTTCTATCAAATATTTCACATACATTAGCAACAAAGTAGAGGAGTAGTGGGTGTCCCCGACTGGCTTGACTTTTGTTGGCTGTGTCATGCACTTTGGTACTTTTACTTACTTTTATCCTCTTCACCACTGATTGGCTCGTTAGCCGCTTCGGTGATCGGTCACGTCTCTGTAACTCACTATTGGCAAGTACTAGGCATGTACCTGTACTGGCTCCCTCTTACAGATCCTACAGGAGCCACTCTAATGTGGCCCTTGTCATGTCGTCGGTGCATCCTCTTACACTTCGTAACATTGAACCTCAGCAGCCATTTCTTCGACCATTCTTGGAGCCCACAGAGGTCCTTCTGCAGCTCTTCACAGTCCACTTGGTTCTTGATTTCCCGAAATAACTTGGCGTCATCGGCAAAAATTTGTATGGAGGAGTGTACAACGTCAGGCATGTCATTTATGAAACAAACAAACAACAGTGGGCCCAATACAAAGCCCTGTGGTATCCCGCTTGTGACAGGTACGGATGATGATTTCGTGCCATTAATCACCACACACTGCTTTTGGTCATGTAGGAAGTCTTCTATCCACGAGAGGACATTTCCTCGAATTCCGTACCCTTCCAGTTTGATTTTCAGCCTTTCGTGGGGTACACTGTCGAAAGCCTTGGCAAACTCTAGGTAAATAGTGTTGATATTACTACGCCGTTCCAGAATATGGGTCCAAATATCCAATACCTTGAGCAATTGTATTAAGCAGGAGCGCCCCGGAATAAAACTGTGTTGGCAATCCTTTACGAGGTTGTTTCGTCGTAGATGTTCCATCGCGGCATCTCTGATAATACTCTCAAGTACTTTACATATTATGCTGGTCAGGCTCACCGGTCTATAGTTGTTCATGGAGTGACGGTCGCCCTTCTTGAAGATAAGACTCACATAAGCCACTTTACATTCATTGGGGACCTTTTGTTCATCCAGGCATTTACAAAACAGGATCTTCAGGGGCTCGGCAAGTTCATTGCTCAACTCTCTTAGCACTCTAGGATGCACCATGTCAGGGCCGGGACTCTTATGGACCTTTAGCTTTGACAGTTTATTTCTAATACCCTCTTCTGTGAACACAATGTGGGTCAGTGCTGTGTCGAACCGTCTGTCCTCAAACGCAGGAAGGTTAATCGCATCCTCTCTTGTGAACACTGAGGAAAAGAAGCTGTTCAATGCCTCAGCTTTATCCTGGTCAAAATCTGCATAACTACCATCTAGAAGCCTCAGGTCTGATACTCCTACTCGCATTTTTAATTTCAACTTTGCATAGCGGTAAAACGCCTTTGGGTTTGACTTGACCTTGCTTGCAACCAGCCTCTGGAACTCCTTTTCAGCCCTTCTACATTCTATCTTTGCTTGCACACATCTTCCTGTCCTGCACATCATTTGACCCAACCCACGTCTTGAATTTCTGGGTTTTCTTCTTAACTTTGTCGACCGCTGCATGGTTCATGTGTAGGGATCCGCTCGTATTCCTAGAGGCACTGGGTTTGGCCTTGGGTATATATTTATCAATCAAATGGGTCACTTTACTAGTTATGATTTTCAGCGTAGTGTCTGCGTTCTTGTGCCTTAATGAGTCAGGCCAGTGGATACCCCTCATCTCTTCCCTCATCCCGTTGTAATTTCCCCTGTAATATTTGCACCTTAGTCTGGTGTTATCTTGAACTAGGTAACAGTTAAATCTGAATGACAACACTCTATGGTGACTGGTGCCAACTGGGGCAAGGTGTTCCAGTTTGGCCACCATACCCTCCTCGTTTGTTATGATGAGGTCTAGTGGCTTGGGTGTTTGCTCCCCTCTGTAATGTGTCGGGTCTCTAACATGTTGGAACAGAAAATTATCTCTCAGAGTTTCTACAAAAAGAGTAGCAGTGTTATTCAGGTCATTTGGGGTGAACTTGTTTCTTTAGTCGATGTCGCCATAGTTAAAGTCCCTCATAATAAGGAGGTGGCTAGGGTTGAGCATCACCGTGTTGTCTATTAAGGCTTTAGGTTCCTTTGGTTTAGTGGGCCACAGTTTGGGGATCTGTAGATACACCCGACAATAAGTAAGTCCCTTCTCTTTAGTTTAATTTTACACCACTTGGACTCTTCAAAAATATTCTCTCCCTGTACCCTCACCTGGCTGGCTCCAAGGTCTTGTCTAGCATAGATAACCACACCCCTCTTGCAAGTTTCTTGAGAAAGGTTCGTAAATGAGTCATATCCAGCAATACTGAACTCACAT